TGAAAGCTCCCAAGGCAAATGAGTTTGATAATTGCTGTTTTACGGTTTTGAAAAGCATCAATAAAATAAACAATTATCTGTGTATAATTCATTTGCAAACTTATATCAAAAATGTTTCACTGACAATCTTGCCTTCCGTTGACTGTTATATCAACAAACTTTGGTCAACATAATGGTTACGACATTGTAAGAAACAGTTGGCATATATTCCAGTGCAGCTAATATCTAGATCAAATTGAAAAAATTGTTAAAAATTGGCTCTGCGGCTGACATAACGCTGCAGTTTATAACTTAGAAAATATGGTATATCAATGGCTAGGTCAAACTTTGCCTACTCGAGTGTTTATCACTATTCATTTATGCATTGTGGGTCTTTGCATGCATTTAATAAGTCATTATTTTCATATCCATGCTACACATGATTAGAAGATCTGCTATACATCTATGAGATATTCGGACAGAATATGTCTCTAAATCCCAATAATGATACACACCAAGAAATGTTTACTTTTACCTATCACAGGTATCATATGTCAGGGATGCAAGCATGAATGTGAGGGTGCATTCAAAAGGTACAAATCTTTAATGATCAGAATTGAAAAAGAATAAATAACATATCAGTTTAATGTGTTATTTATTAACTCTGCTGTATATTTTCATGTATCTCTGATTGAATAACTGAAATGATTTTTAGGTTTAGGAAATAATGTAGAGTGTTCTTATCAGACAAACAAAGGAAAGGAAACAGCATTAGAAATTGATTCTGCTGTGTGTTTACTTTGATGAAATGAAACTGTTTTCTTCAGACACTTTTGATTGATTTAAGATTCACAACTAATATTTATGTAGCTCGCTCGTCCCTTCAACATGTATGCAATGTCCATGTAACATCGAACCTGGGTTTCGGTGTGTGCATAATATTTTCGTAATGGCAGTACACAATAATTGGATGCGTGTGAACGTCCAATTCCTGTGGTAATAGGGCATGCCACATAACTTAGGTTTTTGATGTTCTGAGTTCAGTATCTCATTCCAATGCTAGTGAGAGGGTCTTGATTTTGATCTTTAACTTGTTTAAGTGAATTGTACATTTTACTTCTTTGGCTGTTCTATAATAGAGTTGGATTGTTTTGCATTTGAAGGATTGTATCTCATAGGTAAAGTTACAAATGTGTATCTATATATTATCAACATGTTTGTCCCATTTAGTTATTTCAGTACTTTGATTAAATCCACAAACACATAACAAATGTGATTTTAAAGGGGGCAAGGCAAAAACTTTCAAAAGCACCTGTATGTGAAACTAGTGGCCTGGTTAAAGGTACTCCTCTTCATGAGGAATTCAATTGGTTGGGAAATTCGTTTTAGTATTTTCTAAACCAGCCATAGAGCACACACACATTGTTATCAGGTTTTAATTCAATCAGGTTCAGTTGTGAATCAATTGTGGATACAACTCTGATGAAAGTTTTGGTAAAACTGTTACCAACAGTGAGTGTGTTCAACGAGACATGATTTAAGGAATGATATCCAGTGATCGAGTTAGTGTAAACATTGCTGTAGAGGTGAACTTTTGTGACAAATTTTGAAACAAATTTTTGAAGAAGCAGAAAGCATAAGATTAGAAAGCATAATGCTAATGTAAGATAATATTTGTTAAAGATTTTTTCTTCCAAATCAGATGTCTTATTGCAAATGTCTTTGTTTTTCTTCAGATGAACATTAAAAAACAAAAGAATTGTTGCTGAGCCGTTTCCGTTCAGAAAACCTCAGATGTTCCCCTTATATTGCCGTATTAATTATTGTAATCATGGTCGATGAAGCACTTGATTTGTCATGTTACATACTGAAATATCTCACAAAAGGAATGTTTATTGACCTATGGTTAGGTAGACAGTTTTGATCGTATTAGTGCATAGGATTACATGAAAAAATCTACTTGTCTGGTGGACTACTTGCCACAGTTTTGATTTTATTAGTGCATGGAATTACATGAAAAAATCTCCTTGTCTGATGGACTAGTTACCTCAGCAGAATCCTGTCATTAGGATGAGTGGATGATTGCTTTTGCCAAGCCCTGTTTAAAGTCAAGTTCATGATCTCGGACAATCATGTTGAAATCACCAACTGAATCTGTTAAATGTTTGCACTTGTTTAAATACATCACACTTTGTAAGTTAGGATTTTCGTCACCAAAAAGTAATAACCTCAAATTTGAAATATTCAAATGATTTAATGTGGTCCATCCTTTTCAGATTTTATGGGATAATACTTGATTAAATGACTTTCTTAGTGGTAACAACAATTAACAATTAACACCTAAAACACATATGTCACCATTTTACCACCAAACTTACATATACATACATACTTATGAACTACCAACCCAGATTTCAACAATTTTATGGAATTAAACATTTTGTCTAGTTAATTGCCTTATAAAACATAATGAATATATATATATTGCAGAAATATCATTGAAATGCATAATGAAATGCATATATTTTTCGTTAATAAAAAAGTGTTTGTCCATTTTGTTGTAAAATTTAGTCTCTTTTATTGTCTTCAAACCCCAAATTTTTCCTTTATTTTTCAGCTTTTATTGGATTTGTCATCCATTTTTATTTCAATTTCCATCGATACTTTGACATGAATAGGTTGAAATAAAACAAATAAAAAGCATACCTTTTTTAAAAAACTATGATTGATTTTACTGCTGCAGATAATTGTGAAATGACTGCTGCATATAATTGTGAAATGACGTAGTTTAAGTACAATTTCAAGTATGCCGAATAGCTAATCTCAGAAGGCCTCTCCATTTCCCTGTGTTCAGCTCTTGGTTATTGTGTAAATCTAGAGCACAACAGACATTTCTACCTGTTTATGTGTCTTTCTGACAGTATTGTAATATAATAAATAACTTATCACTCATTTTCACCAACCAATTTTACAATAGTACATCTTATTGTTTCAAAAAGTACATTTCTAAGCGTTTTGTTACCAGTACTTCAATCCATTCCACAAGCTCTATTTAGAATCTTACATTACTACGTTATTAAAAGATAGCAAAAATGTTCCATATCCTTTTTTTTTCAATTATGACGGTTTACGCTCTGCATTATCACTGATAATCATGATCATGATTAAGTGTTACAAAGTTTATAACAGATATCCGTGGTAATACCTCTGCTGTGCAACCATCATGTTTTTCCTACCCTTTTCTGATATATGTGTCTTATTACTTTGTTTACAATATTTTCTACCCTTATCCCTAGGCTTCGTCTTGTGATTAGCAAACACTCAAAAATGCCAAGGTGAAATGTAAATTTCAAAAGCAGATATAGGTAGTGCATTATATAAAATGAAACAGATTACTGGGCTCTGGAAAGAGTGATGTCACAGAAGGGTTGGTCTATGTGAAATGATCAAAAAGTACAGTATGAGCATTTGAAAAAGATTTATGCTGAAAGAATAGCTGATTGGCATTTCCACAGTGGTAGCAGCAATTTGTGCAATTGGGGCCTGGGACTGAGTTTGCAAGGGGGAAATCATATTTAAGAGGATTGGATTTGTATCATGGTCTGGCATGAATAAGAAGTTTTCTGTCCTCATATCAGTAATACACATCAATATCATAGTCAATATGTTGGGGACTAGATCTGACTTGAGAGAAGAGAACACACTAATTTAATATTTCCATCAAAAATATTCCATGTTTTTATGTAGAAGGCATGAAGGGTATGTTAATAGCAAGGAGTCTGAAATTTTAAATTCTATTATTAATTTTGAGAGTATGTGGATTTGTTTCCTACGGTTGAGATAACATATTATTAAATAGTTTCCAGTCTTATGCCTTCATTTACGTAATAATTGAATTTCCTGTTCACTAGTTTCTACATACTGTAGATGAACTTACATTGGGATAATCAAATCTTAACCCATTATCCACTTCAAACAAATATGCACATTAATGAACTTGTGCACTTACATAATTTCTATATAAAAATAAACAGAAAGTGTAATTTACCTGTCTGATTTTAGCACAATATTTGTAGGGTGTAAAGTGCTATAATCAAATTACAGTTTAGATATGTAATATGTTTAGCCTATCACTTTATATTTAGTATATCAGTGACAGTAAACTAGTCATTATTCAAACCTCTAACTTTTCAGAATTAATTTAAGTTCATCCATCATATTCATATCCTGAAACTTGCAATACATAAAACTTTCGTAAATTCTTACCAGTTCTGCTTCAAGATGTATTTTGACTACACATACAAGTTGACTACTGAATCTTTTTCCTACAGTAATCTTACTTGAATTTCTCAAAAGATGTTGTATGAAATGTAACATATATATCCTTTCATTTTTTCAGAATGTTTAAGGCCACTCTTCTGTTTGCCAGAGTGCTATATCTTCTCCTTAAAATGAATACATTGTTCTATCGATCTGGTAGATATGTAGTGTAGTTGATTCTTGCAAAACAAGGTGCTTTTATTCTTATGTACATCTTTTAATTTGGCTATAAGAAAAATCCCTGATATCATATTATACCCTTAGCCTTGCATTTTTCACCTTTTAAGCATGTCATGAGATGTCAAACACTAGGTTGACCTGACAAAATCAGATGAAGTTGGGCTGGTAAATGATAATGAATCACCTCTGTAGTTCAATAAGAGTTGAATATGTCCAACCAGCTATCCACACTGTGTATGTAACATGGAAGCAAGAGGTCTTGTGGTCTTTTCTGGTTTCCACTAGTTCCCAGTGGTGAATTTTGTTTTGTTCAGATAAATCAGTTAAATTGTCAATTACAGATATATCTGATTGTGCCATCTATTGCAAACGTACAGAACTGGAGGCAGAATGGTGGGGACTGATGCTGATAACAAGTACCAAAGATATCGCCTGCCTGGCTCTGTCAGGTTTGACATCCTAATGGAGTAAATGAATATTGATTTGATAAGAGTGATATAAAGTGCTGTTTTGTGTTGCAGGTAGAGCCATCTGAACACGTTATAGATCAGGGCGATGACGGAGACAATTTTTACGTTATTGACAGGTAATTATGTCACCTCTACAGTGTGTGCCTCCTTAGGGCCTAGCCCACATCACACTTTACATATCATTGACAATTCACAATAATTTGGTGATAAGGTGATTATTGTAGACCTTGGTCGTATGACATTATGATGATGGGTGACGTACCATGTTTTAACAGGGGCATAAACGCCTAAGTCCAGGAGGCGTTTGCATTGAAAAGAGTAAAAAAAGAAAGATGGGGGCGTATTCCTGATTGCGACCATGTACTTGATAAAAAACCGGTCAACATTTTCAACCTTTCACTTAATTGCAAACAACATCATATTATCATGACTTCTAAGGCTCTTGGTCATTCAGAATAAATGCCAATATATAGAACCATTTCAAATCTGTCAGCAGGAATTTTATGTGAACCAGCAATAAAAATCTTTTCAGTACTGCATCCTAGGCCTAAGGTCACATTTTGGAGTTAATATGAAGAACTATAGAATATATGAAGTTCCTCATAACTAAGGGTCATGCTATTTTGTGAATTTGATACCTGTGATAAATTGTTGTGGACTTCCCACCTAGTGATAATCTTGACTTACTTTCAAGGTTACAGGTATCTATGGTTCTCAACTTCTCCAAACCTCCATTGGAATTAAATCCTAGAATTCAAAAAAAGACATTGTACTTAAATGGGGGCTTTGTTTGAACATCGATTTAAAGCAGCTATGTACGGGTGTTAAGAAGGCCTCAATCAATAACATACACTTAACATAGGTTGGACTTGCTAATGAGACATGAATGTTTCTCAAACTTTAAAAGTCAGTCACTGTGTAGTTCATTATGATCTGACAAAGATTTTTGGTCCACCTTGTAATGAAGAAAAACACTACCATGTTAGGGATATACTCGAAAGGTTCATAGTAAAAATCTTATTTTCACTCTTTTTGTATGAAAGATATTGTGCTAAAATATGCAGTTAGTGTTTGTTTTTAATTTAGCAGGGTTTTTTTTATGAATACTCATTGCACTAAAATTTGTCTACACCTTATTTAGCACATTTATAGTAAGTAGAAACCTATATTCTATGGATTTGTTTTTTTTTTGTTTTGTTTTACAACACCAGTACAGAAAAAGAGGTTTAGATGTCCTCGTATTATTTCTTGCATCTGATATTGATTTGTGTGTTGTGACAAGGAGGTTGATGCTATACACATCAGGACTATTTTAGTCAATGTCACCTAATGTATAGACATTTCTTGCGCTGGTCAAACTATTCACAATTTTCTTAATAGGTAGAAGGAAATATTAATTCTATACATTTAAAGTTTTTGTGATCTGGATGTAAGTTGTTATCTATGTAGATATTTTCCTGTTATCAAGGTTCAAGTACATGATTTCTGATTGAAGTCAAAACACTAGTATGATATATAACAACAATTTATACTTACAAACAAAAGTGCAACAAAATCTGTATCATGCATGAATTGATCTGTTCCAATGTGAAAATATTATTGGATACTAAATTAGAGCTGAATACTGACACTAGTGATATATATATGTATTAACTGTGTTTAGTTATACTTTTATGTCAGGTATGATGTCTGCACACATTTTTTCATCTCAGAATCTGTGAAAATAACTGTCTATACAGCTTAAAGTTACACAATTCTGCCCTTCAGATAAGAATTGTAATTTTTCTATTCTTTTTTCTTTTCAGTGGTACATATGATATTTTTGTAAATGGCAACCTGGTTGGTAAATATGATAGTAAAGGAAGTTTTGGGGAGCTTGCTCTGATGTACAACATGCCACGTGCTGCTACCATTGTGGCCACATCTGAAGGCACATTATGGGCCATGGTAAGTTGCAGGGGAGGCTGTCACATAATTGGCCATAATCGCATAGTAATAATGATCTTTCCTCCAACAATGATGACATGACTACAGCTTTGGTCAGAAATGATAACTACCCATTACCCGATAGTTAATAGACCTTCAAATGTCTCTGTGCCTGAGGCATGGACGAAGAAACCGTAATAAGGAGGCTGGTGTCAACAGGAGCCTAATTAACCTCAGGGTACAGATTTATCAAACTCAATATTGACGAAAAATTTTTATCTTGTTATACTTGTATCATTAGGGAAATGGGAATGACATGATAGGAACATACAGTCAAACCAGTTTTGATAGATTACGAAGGTACTGACAAAAAAAAAACTCTACATATTGTTGCAAGTGATTTATTTCAGTATTATTAATATGATTCTAAAAAAGAAATAAAAAATGTTGTCATAGAAACAGCATCTGAAATTTGTATCTTTTGCTTATCCAAAGCATATCTTGAAAACCATTTGATAACTGTTCTTCTTTAGAAATCACCATACTAACAAAGCAGGACAAATGAGTCTTATAATGCTTGTTTTTGTTGTGAGACTGTATTTCCTTAAATAGAATCTCAGGAGCTGATGGCTCTGTATATGTAGGACTAAATGCCCAATTCAATAATGAGTGGAAAGACTTTGGATTTGGTTACTTTATGGGAATTTCAAATTGAATTGAATTGAATCATTTGTTTAGAAAGTGGTTCTTAATCTGTTTAATGAATCAAACTAGTAACAAACTAAAAGTGAACTCAAATTGCTATTCCTTCTGTATTTCAGGATAGAACCACATTTAGAAGAATAGTATTAAAGAATGCTTTTAATAAGCGGAAAATGTATGAAGCACTGTTGGAACATGTACCAATGCTGAAGACTCTTGATGTAAGTACTGATGTGATTACCTTCTTAAACTGAAATCATGACATCTATAGATTCTAGCTTATCTAGCCTGAGAAACCTTTTGTTCTGTAATGTTGAATATGACTAAAACCTCCATGTATGAAGTTAAAAAAAATTGTTGAAATAATTGATATTAGATTAATTTGTTGATATCCTGCGTCAACATCTGTGAAAACATTCCTCGAACTCATTTTTATCCCCGCCTCTTCATGTTCATGGTATTTCCCTTAGAACAGATGTCATATTGGACAAAATTTACCTATATCATGTGCCTTCAGGGTAACAGTTCTGATCATCCTTGTGGGTTTATACAGTGGCTGGCAGGACAGCAGATAATTACAGAATTAACAGCGGTATGATTACATACCTCTACTGCCATCTGTTACTTTATTTGATTGTTTTACAAGGACATTTCTAAATAATTTTGTTTTTATTCAACCTAAAAATAAACTTTGTTCAAATGGAAATTTGTAAGCCAATTTATGAAATGCTGCATAGTAGGAGGGTACAAGTGAATAAAGACTATTTTCTACATCATTTCTAATAGTTTATCAATGGTTTAAGTGGATAACATTAATAACACATTAATCACATAAGTTATGTCGTGATAACATTAATAACATTAATCACATTAGTTATGTCGTGATAACATTAATAACACATTAATCACATTAGTTATGTCGTGTTGCCATTTTTATAAATTTCTTTCCATTAAAATTTGAGACAAATTGATGTTATAAGTCAATCAAAATCATAAATTTGATAAGTAAAAGAATGATGTTTTGCATTTGTCATTCACGGACGTGGATGGTCAGTACCTGGCGATCTATGACCAACCTCTGATTACTCAAATACCTCATATTACTTGAACTGTTGACATGGTCCTGAGGAGTTTGACTTATCCGGGTTTTACTGTACTTAGTTTTGGATCCAAATCAGTGACCTAGGTCAATTTTGAAAAATTGTATGAATATTGATCAGCCTACAAATCTTCGTCACTGCATTATATATCATGACATATTTTTAAAAAATATTATATGATGTAAGTTAAAGAATTTTATATCATGTCCACTTTAAAGTTGATATTACTAAGTAAGATAAGTAACAGTTAAGTGATACAGAAATGTTTTCTTGTTAATTCTTGACTTCGGAAAGGTGTACTCATCTTTACCTGTGTAGGAAATGAATGAAGTCTCATTTTAGGCAAAGTTGTAACTTGAAAATGGTCCTTGGCACATTCTGTATACACAGGATAATGCAAAGTCTTGAAGCATTATCTGGAACTTACACATTGAGTGATAAAAAGGTTTGTTTGCTTGGAATAATACATGATATTTAACATCAAAACAATTCCTTATCAACTTTCTAATTTCAGATTTAGCTCTGATCCTTTTCTGTCCCAATTTAAATTTAATGACATAGCTGTGTAAGGCTAGATGGGAAGCTTTTATGTATTTCAGGTTGAATCTGTCAGTAATTAGTTAAACGATACCTTGAACTTTGTATTACCGAGATCAAATAGGTTTTCAAATTGAAAAATTATGTGTATTATATACTGTTTGGTAGTGTTGTTTTTTCATGGTCTTGGTTACATTGACTATATATAGGCCATACACACAGGTGTTTATTGAATATTTAAATCTTCACTCTGCTATATAATACCACATGGTATTGTCAAAATATTTTGAGTAATTTGAGGCAACTCACTGACATAGATAAAGGATTAGCACCACGCACAGATCATGGTTTTAAGTAGGTCCCAGTGGATGGCCTATTCATGTCTCCCATAGATCATGATCTATCACCTTATCCTGGGTTACGTAGGTTTACACTGAATAGCCAGGCACGTCACAGAATAATCCCAATGCTTTGTATCCCAAGGAACTGATTAACTTGTGATATTGAGATAATATTGACTGAAAACCTGTATTGATGGTGACATTTGCAAACCTGATTCCTGAATATCTCCCATTTCATGTGATGGTTTTATAAGTTATTTTACTGTCTAATATACAGACAGTGTGTCACTACTGTCAACTAAGACGATCGTAAAATTATTATGTTGAAGCCTACAAATATATTATACTGATTGTGTATACAGCAATACAATGTAGAAAGTACTGATATGTATGAAAATATATTACCACTTTTTAAGTGAAAACAATAAAATGTAAATCACATCAGCTAATTTATAAAGAGCCAGGAAGTGAAAGGTCCCATTGTTGCTACATACAAGTTAAAAATTGTAGGTAGAAGTATGGTAAGAGTAATTATTACATGAAACATCTCCACTAGACACACTGAAAACTTATCTTTACACCAAGTTGTTTATATACCCCTCTCACATATGGGAGGTGTTTACTAGATGTAACATATGGTAATTACTACGGTATGCCTTATACACAATTGTATACTGATTACAAATTTACTGAGAGTCGCAGACTTTAATGACTCCTTAAACATTTTTTCCCCACAAACAACCAGTCCTTTAACAGTTCAATAGTTTTTAAGATGAGTAAGATAGTTTTGAAGCTCTACCCTCATAATTTACTTTGTTTGTGACACTGGTGTTTATAATTCAATATAATAGAAGCGGTCTATATTACTTATAGTTTCCCTTTATTTTCAGCCATATGAAAGAATGAATGTAGCAGATGCCTTGCAGTCTAAATCTTTTACTGATGGAGAGGTGATCATAACACAGGTGAGGGTGAATCATATTTAGCACAAAGTTATCAAAACATAAATGAGGGTGAATCATATTAAGGGTGAGGTAATCAAAACTAAGATGAAGGTAAATCTTACTTAAGGTGAGGTTTTTATGACACAGGTGAGGGTAAATCTTATCTAGGGTAAAGTTGTCATTATACTGGGTAGAGTAAATTTTACTTCGGTAAGGATCTCATTACACAGGTGAAGGTGAATCTTACTTAGGGCAAGGATGTCGTTACACAGGTGAGGATAAATCTTACATAGGGTAAAGTTGTCATTACACAGGTGAGGATAAATCTTACTTAGGGTAAAGTTGTCATTACCCAGGTGAGGATAAATCTTACTTAGGGTAAAGTTGTCATTACACAGGTGAAGGTGAATCTTACTTAGGGTAAGGATGTCATTACCCAGGTGAGGATAAATCTTACTTAGGGTAAGGGTGTCATTACACAGGTGAGGATAAATCTTACTTATGGTAAAATTGTCATTACACAGGTGATGATAAATCTTACTTAGGGTAAGGATGTCATTACACAGGTGAGGATAATTCTTACTTAGGGTAAAGTTGTCGTTACACAGGTGATGATAAATCTTACTTAGGGTAAGGATGTCATTACACAGGTGAGGATAAATCTTACTTAGGGTAAAGTTGTCATTACCCAGGTGAGGATAAATCTTACTTAGGGTAAGGGTGTCATTACACAGGTGAGGATAAATCTTACTTATGGTAAAATTGTCATTACACAGGTGATGATAAATCTTACTTAGGGTAAAGTTGTCATTACACAGGTGATGATAAATCTTACTTAGGGTAAAGTTGTCATTACACAGGTGATGATAAATCTTACTTAGGGTAAAGTTGTCATTACACAGGTGAAGGTAAATCTTAATTAGGATAAGGATGTCAATATAGCCCCTCAGGAAAGTTTACTTTGGTCAATCAAACTCAAACTTCATACAAGGCTTCCTTACAAAAATGGCTTGCTTTGGATTTCTTTTCAGGTCCCAAGTGTCAATGGTCCATATTACTGTTACTCTAGGTAGATAATTGGTTTCCATGATATAACTTGGGTTCCCTTGGGCCAATCAAACTCAAAGTTTGTACAATGCTTTCTTACACAAAGTGCTTTCTAGGGATTACTTTTCAGACCCAGAAGTCAAAGGTTGAGGTTAATGTTGTAGTAATGGAAAATCCATTTTGTGGATTAACTCTAGTCTGCTGTAGCCAATCTAACTCAAACTTAATGCGATGCTTCTGAATCAAAAGTGCTTGTTTGAGATAGATTGCCATTCACATCCAAAGGTCAAAGGGAGGGATTTCCAGCTGCATAGCGAGGCCCTAACTGACCTGTCAGTGTTCTAGATACGCAGGTGAAGGTAAATGGTACTTACTGTAAGAATGTAATTCTTTCATATGGATAGATTATCATTACAGAGATGAGGGTAGATCTCTATTTTACTACAGAGATAGGTGTCAGGGTAATTAGTCCCCCCAGGGAATTGGAAGGGACTATAGTTTTCAGTATTTATCTTGGAACGTTATACTTTTGGTATCAAAAATAGTTTACTATGACCTACTTACTGACCTTTGACCTACATCAAAGAGAAAGTTGGTCAAGGTTTTATCTCCTATGCTACTGGCCACTGGAGCTTCATAAGCTTCATAGTGGTTGAATGTGTTCACCATGGCAAAGGAGTGAGGTGATAGGGTACTATAATTTGCAGAATTGTCTGGTCCTTACTTGAGTGCAAATGTTAGTGACCAATGTATTTGTAACAAGCATTTAATTCCAGGTTAGTGATACAGGCCTATTACACCTCTTGTTGGGTTGATCATGCAGATCCTCTGGAGATATATTTTCAAATTTGATACAATTTCACTCTGTTACAGGGTGATGAGGCAGACTGTATGTATTTCATTGAAGAAGGAAATGTTCGAGTGACAGTCAAAAACAAGGTATGAACATATTTATACACTTCTCATTTTGCTATCAGAAAATTAGGATAGCAACTTGGATTAAATTATTGAGGTAAATATCAGCAAAATTTCAGAATAATTTCAAATTTCTTAAATGCATTTCAAATTAAAGCAGACTTGGGTAAAATTGTTCTGGTGAATATTGGAAATTTTAAGTTCGATAAAGGAGAGAGTTCAGGGAAATTTATCAGCTCCTAAGCTCATCATTGAAAGATAATTGTTTTCAAACAATGTATTGTGTGAAACTGGATTTAAAGAACGATTAGAATTGGAGGGGGCGGGAGAGAGTTTGTGTTAGTGTCTGTGAATTCATGCAAGAAATTGATTAAAATCAAGATCAGGTAGAACAGACATTTTATTGATTGTTAAATTCTGGGTTTAGGAAACACTTCTCACATGACAGTAATTGTGTTGTGATGCTCTGTCATCATGGCTACCACATTGATCAGTCTCTGTGTGACAGTGATGGCAACTGGATTCCATAACAGTACTGAGTCCGTTTCACAACACATTAGGAAAGAGAAAGAACAAACACAGAAAATTATGTTATTAACATCCTGAAATCCTAGAGCAGTGTTATGATTTTTCAGACTTGATGTCTTGTTTTGTTATCTTGTCTGCTGTTAAGATCTAACAAGCATACCATTATATGTCTCTCCATTTCTACCAAACCATAGTGCCTATCAAAAGCTGGTTTGGCCAATCTTGCCTACCCAATTCTAAATATTCAAAGTTATGGTTTAGTGTAGAAGAAAAGTAATACTGTTCACATTGTTTTAGGGTCATATCACTATGAAGTCCATCATGAGTTTACAAACACAGCAATATATATGACAATCAATACATCGGGATGACCATTACTGGACAGATCTTCCTGATATCAGCAAGTAGAGACTTCTCTGTTCTTCCCTCTAGCTAGAGAACAATCCTATTAATCTCTACCCGAGGAGATATTCTTGATTGTCTAAACTGAGGCCTTGCCGAGAGCTAGCTTGTCAAGATTCTGTTCCAAGGGTAGAGATTTCTCTGTCCTACCCTCATGGTAGGGAATGGTCCTTTTTCTACTCCTTTTTCCTCTGAAAAATAAATAAGGAAATAAATATACATGTGACATTATAGCCATCGGTTATTTGTATTTGAGGCCCGGATGACGATTTTTTATGACATCAACAATCCCAACTGACCCCGACACGTCTTAAATATTATATTAACAATTACATAAACCTGAAATGTCACTTTCTGTGAATGCAGGCTGTCTTGCCAGGGTAAGATAGAGATATTTTACATTATTGGAAGTATGGATATTTCTGTCCGGTGGGGTTAATTTGCACTAGTTTGACAAAAGGTTATAATGCACTAAAATTTGATTGCACTAAGTTAAGTACATTTACGGTATTACTGGGTGTTACCTGAGACACTGGCAGCCAGCTGAAATGTATGTAACTGTTATGTAGTTAAGCTGTTTAAGCTTGGTTTTATATCCTGTTGATTCGGGTACTTTATCTCAATTAATAGTCAGCTGCCAATCACCAGTCATTCTTGTTTTATTTCAGAGTGAGCCAAATGGTGAAGAATTGGAAGTAAAGAGATATGAAAAAGGAGGTTACTTTGGAGGTGAGATGCCATTTTTTGCTGATCTATGTATGAATTTTCTCCTAAGTGTTAAGAGGGGAGTGGCAGACTCCTTTCACCCTGAGGATGTACTCCTCTAATGTTTGATGGGAAGTAATAAATTCCAACATGACATGACATGAAATTATACTTTGTTAACTATTAGTTGTAGTTATAAGCTGAAGTCAAATACGGGTACTAAAGAATTTTCAAATAAAGCATTTGAATAATTTTTTTCAGTTTCATTTATGGGTTGCTATGCAGATTTAAGCTCATTAAATCAAGTACATTTGAACATTTTCACATTATTTTTTCCTAAACATCCAAGTATAGTAGTTTTACAATCATGTTTTAATGAAAGATGATACTTCATTTTAAAAAAGATTGTATCAAAACAAACAAAGAAATCTCTTATTCAGGAATATATTAAGATTAATTTATGAAAATAATTGATTTCCAGTTACACATATTCTGATGCCTGTGTCAGAAAAAGAAGTGTAGCAACATAATGACTTTTTGCTTTTAAATTACTTTCTCAAACCTTCTCTTTCAAAAAATCATCAGAGCAAAAGCGTACTACTGGAATTTAACAAACTCTCAGAAGACTTCTTCCTAAAATTGTTTGAAAATATTTAAAAAAAAAAAAAAAGAAAAACACCTATAAAGGATAATTTTATTTCATACCTTGTAATATGACATTTATTGTGATTACATTAGCACCTGAGGTTCAAACAATGAATTGACATGTAAATGTTCTTACGAAAGTTTCTTTCACTAAAATTTGCAAATTTCATCATTGTAAGTTTCTATTATCAATCGTGTTTTCACATGAAACGCTAGTAAATTATGTACCTTTCATGTGTGTTTTTAGTGACCAATTTTAAGTGTACAGGTATATTGACGGGGTATTTTCACCCAGTGATTTGATCAGATCCAGCACAGTCTGAAATGAATTGGTTTGATGATCAAATCAGTATGTAGATCACTTTAACCAATATGATAAAAAAAATACCAATGTAGCCTGTTCTGGGATATCTTGAATGATGAATCAAGCAACATTTTTCTACGATGTTAAAGCCGAGGACATTAAGTTAAACATTTTGACATTTCACTCCTATACATTGGAGGTACCATTGGGTATGATGCTCTTTGCATTATTCTCATAGGAACAGGGTATATGTATGTTAAGCAGTCTTTCTCAAGTGATACTCAATGATTTGTTGTAAGATCCAAGAAATAGCTTGTCTAAATGATGGCCTTTGGTGGTAACTAAATAGACATGTACATTTATGTCTAGGGATTTGGAGTTTAAAACTTAAAAGCTAAATGTGTGTTTTCATTTTCTGTGTTAGTTCTTCAATCCACTCCTATATGTTGAGTTATACTGACATTCTGTCACATTAAATTTTTTCTGAACAAGCAAGGGTCAGAAAAAGAAATGCATTTTATTTAATAATTTGTGTTACAGAGCTGGCATTAGTTACACACAAACCAAGAGCAGCTACAGCATACTCAATAGGCAGTACTAAATGTGCAGGTAAGTCTTCAGCATACTCAATAGGAAGTGCTAAATGTGCAGGTAAGTCTTCAGTATACTCAACATGTAGTACTGAATGTGCAGGTAAGCCTTCAGCATACTCAACATGTAGTACTGAATGTGCAGGTAAGTCTTTAGCGTACTCAACATGTAGTACTGGATGTGCAGGTAAATCTTCAGCATACTCAATAGGAAGTGCTGAATGTGCAGGTAAGTCTTCAGCATACTCAACATGTACTGAATGTGCAGGTAAGCCTTCAGCATACTCAACAGGTAGTACTGAATATGTAGGTGTGTCTTCTGTGTACTCAATGTAACAGGCAGCTAATATGAATGCCTTCCAAATTGATCTGAAGCTCTCTTGGAATAAATATAAGAAAAGGTGATGTAATGAAAGGATGAATCAGTGTTCAAATACTGAGTTATTATTTATGATAGATTTTATTGTCTTCATGTCAAAGAGCAGGGTTATTATTACAAAATAAGCAAATCACAGATCAAGTTCATTGTTACTATTATAAAACTAACTTTAGGACCAAATGCTGTATACATATAACTGTATACATCTGTACTATAGCATAGCATACATATGATATATTTCATGCTACAGTGCTAGACGTGCAGGCATTTGAGAGGTTACTGGGGCCATGCATGGATATCATGAAGAGGAATATTGACCAGTATGAAGAACAGCTAGTCCAGGTATTTGGAGACAAGGCCAATATTACCGACCTAAGATGAACGTCCTTCCCTGCTACCAAACCAAAGAGTGCTCATCTTCTACCCACCCGCAATATCAAAATCCTCATGTCCAACCACATCAACTAACTTGTGTCGACTGTGGCTTGGCAGTCGTACTATTCCAACCAGGCTCAGAAACCATTGTCTGATTTTTGGTGCTGGTTTACAGGAAACCTCATCTTTCTTTATATATACATATTTATTTTCTGCTTGAGGAGAAAAAAAATATCTAAAAAAGAATGGAAGGGTTGTTTTATAAACAAAATTGAACAATTTTGTCTTGTGTTGAATATTATTGGAACTGCTGCAAAACATGATTTCTGGTTTTGCTTTTAATTATTAAAACAGTCATCAATATTGTTTGAACATTACATTAATTGGTCAAAACTGCTATCTAAACCTATTATTTCACATGGATGTATGTTGTTTACAAAATTATCATCTTTGTTGATATCCATGTTCACCATGGACCCAGTGAATTTATGTTGTGACACATTGTCTGTCTTCCACCTGTTTCTCTTCAAAAATAGTCCATAGCCACTCAGAAGGGATAGGATATAAGTAAGATATTTATCATCTCTGGAATTCAACGTTGGAAAGATCAATGGTTTGCAGTATGAAGGGGAAATAAAAAGGCAATACTTAAAACAGGCTTGAAAATATCTATTTTGAGATTTTTTTTTTTTTAACAAATTTGGTATGGGCATATATGAGGTGAGGGTGCTGAAGTCCAACAGGCACCATGTTCTTTACTTATTTTACTTTTCTGATATACTTTTACAGCAAAAAAAATCATATTTAAAGGGACAATTTACAAAAGATGAATATTTTTAGAACGATGTTAGAAAATCTTGACATTGTTCATTAATGCTGTTTCCCCACTTGTCAATGTGTAGGACTCCATTACAATGATATGGTAGGTATCCAAGCTTTTGTATAAGGTAAAACGGACCATCAAAGTGGATATCATCAGTTCGGTGCCTCATCATGAAATACGTAAACATTAACTACCATTGATGTAAATTAAAATCCAGACTGATCTTACTGATTTTTCCAGTTACCTTTATGTATGAAAAATTAAGAAAAATTTTGAAATCCCCTGATAGAAAAAAAAAGAAGTTAAATTTGGTTTAATTACATACAGAAATGTGTCTGCTGTTTGCTTTTGAATCTAGATCACATCATCACTAAAATTGGTTGCACTAGACATTGCTATAAATTTTCGACTAACTGCATTTTAATTATTTCCTCATTTATCTTGACTTATTTCTTCACTCTTGGTTTTATTGATTTATTATGAAATGATTTCATGTGAGAAGCAGTTTGAGTCAGTCTTGACTTGGTGTTGGTATGTTCAAAAGCCTTTTAATGCTTCATTATCACAACTTACTGAATTTATGTCCAGTTTCTTATGACTACTCCAGAAATTGACATTTAGCAAACACACTGATATTGGAGAGAACATATTAGGCATTAGATATTCTTACTGGTTGTTTATAAATTTTGATACATGTATTATTAGATAAGGGATAGTCTGTAGATTTATGATGAAATTCTGTAATAGATACACATAATACGTTTACTTTTATGTGAATGAAATTACAGTATGAAAGCTGATAGTATCGTTGTACTATTACATATCTTAGTCATTATATCATTATTAATTATTTAATTTGAATAAGATAAGGCCAAAATGTCGTAGTCTCTAAATGTATCTCTATGAAAGGTACTGTATGGGCTTTACATGAGTTGTTTTCTCAATTCTTATCTTGACTGGTCCAAAGATGCTATAGTGCACCCTGAAGGCCTGGGCATCGAATAGAAATTAGGAAAATTGTCAATTCCATTGTCAAAAGGTTTTGCAAGAATTTAAGCAAAATTGTTAATATTTCACATGAGTATGGTAAGAAAATATAATTTACTGTGTATACTTGAAGGCTGAAACTCCTGAATAGCGATGGCCAGTGTTGCAAAATTTAACAATATTAGCTTGGTTCTCCTGTGATACTGCTCAGAAGATGTTACTGTATTTATCTGCAACTTTGATTGGACGGTAGTGTATGAATAGAAGCTTAAAACCAGGTGAACAGGATTTGACCCAACTTACATATGTGTACTTTGACTCGTCTAAGTAATGTGAACTTAGCCTCCGGGTCAAATTGGAAATGAAAAGTTTGAAAAATGCTTGGATCTTGCAGTTCTGTTTTTGCAGTCATGGTTAATTCACTCCCTTGGGATTGAGGTTTAGGTAAACTAAATAGATGAGCAACACAGTCCTCTTGTTTCTTCTTTCCCTTTGAAGGTCTGTCCATATTTTCCATGATCATTTCGATCATACCTTACTCTGGTGGTGTTGGTCAGATCACTGTACAATTACAACTATTCCAAAGAACTGTTTTAATTTTTTAGTGAAGGATTTTATATTTTTCAAGTTATATACAACAGCATGTTACAATATTTATCATAATTTATGTACAAATGAGATATATATGTTAAAAGCAGATATTCAGTTTTGTATCTTGATATTTTATTGTGTTCCATAAGTATGATTTATTATGTCACATTCTATTTAATTTTGGTAATAAATTTTCACCAGTTATGTAGATATATTCACAGTGTTTAATGGAGAGATTAAATTGCTGAGATAAGCATTGTTATCTAAGTTGTAAGTATAATTGATGTGTGAAATACAAGTATAAAGTCTATCCTATGTGTAAGAGAGATTCCATTCTGACGGGATGAAGATGATTTAGCAATTCTACCTTTGGATTACTTAATACCTGACGGTTTCTTCTTGGTTTTCCTTTATTTTTTTTAGTTTTGTTTTGTTTTTTTTTTTTTTCATGGTTTGCACACAATCGAAAAGTCCTTGATTTCATTGTTTGGCCTTGAAAAATCTTTGGATCTTTACAGCTCAATTCTGCACAAACCATATTATTGATTTCAGAAACTGAATCTGTAGAGATGAAATATTGCAGACTTTTTTTTTTTATTTTTCCGTGCAAATTTCAAATATCTTTCCCTTGAAAGGACTTAAAAATCCAATATACAGCCTTTTTAGTATCTAAAAAGATCATCATCAATAAACAGATCTCGGGTAGCTTTCTCTTTGTCATAAGGTGGTACTTAATTGCTTGCATGTTTACTTCTGGAAGCAATGACAAGAAAAAAAAAATAGATTGAAGGTTTTATTCAGTGTAACTAAAATGTAACCTGTATAGACGTTTGATGACAAAACAACACAGGTCTTTTAAATTTACAACTCAAATCTACTGACAATGCTATACTCAATAATTGGTGAAATAAAACAACATTGTCCTCCTAAATCAGAACATCTAATGTTGCCATTCTGATTAGAGAGGAGTTAGGTCCTAAGAAGTCTCACCAGGATCTGGAATTGAGGTCAGATGTTTGATATCTCATACGTAGGAATATGTTACATTGTTAACAGAGTGAGACAGTGGGTAATGTTACCTAGGTCAAAGTTAACTATGTACATAATGATTGACCAATATTGATGAGTAACTTTAATAAATGTCCATTGTTGTAGATTGAATTTCAACACTTATAGGAAGTTGGAGCAGATGGCGAAATATTAACGGGTAAATGTAAAGTTTTGTCTGCCTACCTCACACATGATCACTCCCTTGTGTTTCTGGTTGATAACACTGTTCGTGTAGTCTGTTAGTTTCACAGAGGCTCAGGTCTAACCAATCACTCCAAATTAGTACTTTGACTGAGTCTTGTGTTTGGAATTTCTCCTCATTGATACAATTTACCATCTGGCAGATAATTGTTATAACTATGTACTGAAAATATGTTTTATAAGGTCTTAAATAAAACCTGATTAATTTTTCCCTGATGAAAATTTATTGAATAGCAGATATGTATTGCTGAAAGACTTAAATTTAATGTAACCACTTCAAAAAAGATTAAGATGTATTTGTTAATTTTGTTGAATCAATGAATTCTTTGAGAATTTTGAATTTGTTTCATCTAAATGTGCTTGCAAAATATGTCTATAATGATCTTAGACAGTCTTTTCAGCCTCATTTCAATCATTTGCTGGCTGTCAGCATTCCAGAAGTGCATAATAATACATGTATTTTCCTTTTTTGACATTTTGAAACATCATTATTCCTGATCATTAGGGACTTTATCTTCAGCAATCTTAGAAATAAGAAATCTTACAACCAATAACTTGTTTGAAGACGTTGACCAAGAATTTTAGTACAACAATTTATTTAAATACCGACGAATCAAAAAGTTTTATCCCAGAAATGTGAAACTAAACAATACTTGGGTATATTTTGTTGTTTTTAGTTAACTTATTTGTACTGCATCGCAGTTTACATTATACATCAGTACTTTTTTATTCATGTTGTAAAAGTTCAGACCTGAATTGATCCATAAGTTACAGAGACTGATATTTCATTAATCTTGAAATATAGAAATCCTGCAGAAGTTGCTTATCAAGATCATTAATTCAGTTTTAACTTATTCTATTTATATAAAAACACAGATATACAGGGAATGAATGGTTTGGATGTGCTTCCTTCATAAAAAGTATGAATTTCATGTCCTCAAGTTTCACCATGGGGCCTAAGGTGTGGGGCATACTTAACGAAATGAGTACATCGAAAAATTAATAAAAAATCTATAAGAAAAAAGATTGCCATTTTAGTTTTGAAATTTTCTTAAGGCTTAAACTGATTAATAATCAGCATTTTAGACCCAACAACTAGAGACTGAAGAATATTTATGTATATTATTGGTCTATTTTCTATCCAAAACAATATTTTATTAGTGTTGGTCAATCCCAGATATTGTCTCGTCAGTTAATTCTTGTATCTGTTACCTGTCTTGTCTTGCATTCATGATGATTTACTACCATACCTCTACAACAAAAGTGAAATCAATGATTTAAACATAAAAGTTTTGGTCGCAGCCTATACACTTTGAATTTGAAGTCGTTTTCAGAACAATTTTTTAAAAAACCATAGACTCTTAAGTGATCTAGATGGACACTCCCTGAATAATACAAGTAAATCCATAATTAGTGTCTTCATACTACACCCGAACCTTAATATGTTTACATATATTTCATATTCCATGTCTGGTGAATAGGAATCTAAGTGAGGGTTCTCTATGCTAAATTGAAGTCCTAC